CCCGACTAGGACAGACAGATACACAGTAACCCTAACTAGGACAGAGAGATACACAGTAACCCCGACTAGGACAGAGTGATGCATTGAGACTGCAGAAGTGAACACTAGCTTCTGTGTTCAGTGCTAGTTAGTGCGCAACTTTGAAAAAAAGTCCTTGAGGCCAGAGGACGGTGTCGGAAAAGATGAGAAGGATAGGAGCTCATGCTCGTTGTCACACAGGGAACAGGGCTGCTCCCATGGGTCAGGCTGGAGAAGCCTGCAGCCCACAGGGCACTGAAGGAAGGACACGTGAGGACGTTGCTTCACTAATAGGAAATGGCAGCGGGTCCTGGTGACTCAGAACTCCAACCCTCAATAAACAAGAGGCTGAGGCAGGAGGATCATAAGTTTGAGACTAGCCTGGGCAACTTAATGAGACCCTGTCAGAAAATAAGGGTTAGAAGGGTTTGGGGAAGCAGAATGGGAGTGGGGGAGCATGGTTCTCAGCACCTGCCTAGAACCCCCCAGTGAGGGGCTGCGGTGTGGCTCGGGGAAAGAGTGTGCTAAGGCCCCCAGGGTTCAATCTCCAGCACTGCACAGAAAAGTTATTCGTTACGATAATTCTTTTGGGCAGCTTTAGACAGCATAATACACAAATAATTTGAATTCAAGAAAAATAAGTGAACAAACTATACATCAAAAATAATGTCCCCCAAGTAACAAACACAAAATAATTCTAAATTCACTCATTGAAGAAGTTCAACTCCCTCCCAACACAAAACACACAAAGAAAATGTCCACAATGTTCCTGTTCCATCCACAGTGTTCCCATTGTATAACTATTAAAAGGGAATTTCATCAACAACTGTCTTCAGTGCGTTTCACAGTTTACACGAAATGAATAGATTCCCTGAAAGATAAACTCACTCAAAAGAAACATATTAGGGGCCAGCAAGATGGCTCATTACATAAAAATGATTGCCTCCAAACCTTACGATCTGAGTTCAGTTCCCTGCGTCCCAGCCCTTGGGAGGTGGAGACAAGGGGATCTTAAGTTCAAGATGAACCTTGAGTACGTGGCGAGTTTGAGGGCAGGTGAGAGTCCCCAGGCCCATCAGCTTAGGACTGTGAACTTACTGAGGTCTCTCAGTTCAGAGGACACTGCTGGACAGGTCAAGGGTAATGGAAAAAGTAACACGAGGAAGGACAAGGTGGCCCAGTGGTTCCCAGAACTAATTGTTTTTATTTTATAGCAGAGATGGACCAAAGGTCCAGGCTCACACCAGATTTTTCTAGAACCACCCAGTGTGTCCCTGCCTGACACCTACAGGGAAGCTGTGTCAGATACAGGAGTTCAAGGGTTCACATCCAGTCATCCCTGAACTATCCTCAGTAGCCTTGACCCCGCTGACTCCTAAGTAGCGGGAAGTGCACAAGGAAGTGCCAGCTGGTGGGGCAAAGGGGACAGGGGTGATGGAGGAAGGAGAGTGGGTCAAGCCATGGACAGGCCGGGAAGAGGGGGTGCAGGAGGACCAACCACAATGCACACCACGCTGTTAGTCTCTACAGGTGGCTTCTCTAGAGATTTCCACATTGATTCTGCTATTTGGAGTGTGTGTGTGTGTTGTGGAGGCCAGAGGACAAACTTGACTGTCATTTCTCAGGTGCCATGCCCCCCCCTTTTTTTTGAGACAGGGACTCCCACTGATCTGAACATGCCAAGTAGGCTAGACTGGCTAGTCAGCGAACCCCTGGGGTCTTCCTGTCTCCTGATTATAAAGGTGCACCACCAAGTCTGACTGTTCTTTTAAAGGCACATTTATTCTTCTAAGATGTTATCTTTCTGTGTACGTGGCCGTGACTGCGGCTGTGAGTCTAAGGGTGTCCAGGTACCTGGGGAGGCCAGAAGAGGGCAGTATATCCTCTCACACCCTGAGTTACAGGTGGTTGTGAGCCTCCTAATGTGGGTGCTCTTATCCACTGAGCTCTCTCCAGCCCACTCCTCGACTTTTTCCCGTGGGTCCCTGGAAGCTGACTTTGGTCTCTGTGCTTGCCTTCCCTGACTCAGCTATCTCCCTAGCCCTGTTTTGCTTTGCTTCTTTTTTGTGTTTTTGGTTTTTTTTTTCTAATAAAGTCACCTTATTATAATGGACTCACAAATAAAAACACCACAGAGCCAGTTTAAGCAAGTTATTCAAACATCTGCCAGGGCTCAACGGCTATGAATCTCCGTGAACACCTGTACTTGTCTGAGTGGCCATTCTGAAGCCTTGGAGCTTTATGCCTTCACGGTCAATTACATTTTTTCTGCACCTGTCCAGCACACACACGCCCACACACTATAGCAGAGTTGGAACTGGGAGAAAACAAACTTTGTAATGCCCACACTTACAGCTGTCGACATATATGCATATGCACAGCATGCAATATTACTCAGCTGCGAAGAATGAGAGATTCATGGGATTTACAGGAAACTGGGTAGACTTGGATGGTATAATAATAAGCAAAGTGGTCCAAGCTCAGAAACACACGCACACACACACACACACACACACACACACGCATGCATACACATACGCACACACAAGCACACACACGCACACACACGCACACACACACTCATGCACACTTCCTCATCTACA